TAACGGAGTTGGGGCCTTTGAGGTCTTCTAGTCCAACCCCCTGCTCACTTTTTATTCAGAATAACAGAGTTGGAAGGGACTCTCTCTCTCTCTCTCTCTCTCTTCCCCTCCCTTTTTCTCTCTCTCCCTTTCTCCCCCTCCCCACCTCTGGTGCCTTAAGAGGCTCCCCCGACCAGGCCGGCCCGCCCACCCCATCTGCACAAAGGAGATAAGCCTGGCCTACCTCGCAGGGTTCTTGGTTCCAACCAAGCATGCAATCAATACTTACCAGCCAAACCCGGGCAGTTTCTACCCAAACCTATTTTTAGACCAAAGTGATCCGCCGGGGTCCCTTTCCTCGGCCGGGTTTAGGCTTTGCGAGCGATTCGTTCCGCTTGCACGTGTGAAACGCGCGTCTCCACTTTTCCGCAGCCCTTCGCCAGCCAGGAATGGACCCGATCCACCCAACCGGGTCTCCTTTACCACGCAACCAACCAACCCACCCACCCAGCACCGACAATTCCCGCAAGGCCGCGGCGGGATCGCAGCCACCCGGGGACGGATCCCCGCGTTCCCTTTCCTGCAAGAGGCGGCTTTGGAAAGCTGGAGCCTGGCGCGCATGGGCTCTGTAGTCCTCCCATCCGCCTGCCTTTTTTTTCCCTTTTTTTTTTTTGCTTTGCGCGAAAGATCCGTGCTGGAACTTAGCAAATGTTAAGAAGAATGTCACTTTTGATACCCAGCGGCGCACATTTGAAACGGGATTTCCCGGCACGCGGCTCTCCCTCTTCCAACACACACTACACGCACGAAGGCGACAACAACACACACACAAAAAGGACGCACAAACCCACATATAGGCTTATGGCACGGGGGGAAAAAAAAACACCAAAAACTTTCGCGCACTTCGCGAGCCCTTGCAAAAGTGCGCCTCTTGTCTGTGCGCGTGCTTCTCTCTGCGTGTGTGTGTTTGTTTGTGTGTTTGTTTGTTTGTGTGTGTATATGTGTGTGTATTGGGGGGGTAACCCTCTCTTGCACCCGTTCCCCCCACACACCGCCAAAGCCACGCTCCCTATCCCCATCCCTTGCCGAAGCGCGCAAAAAACGCGCGCGTGCCAAAAAAAAAAAACCGCGCGTGCAAAAAGGAGAAGAAGCGGCTGGTTCTTCTCTTTTATTTATTTCTCTCTCTCTCTCTCTCTCTCTGTCTCTGTCTCTTTCGGGCACAGCCTGCCCGGCCTGTCAGGGTTGAGATAACCCTCTCTGAGCCGAGCCTAGCCGAGCCTCGCCTCCGGGTGGGAGGGAGGGAGGGGAAGGGAAGGGAAGAGAAAAAAAAGGGGGGGGGGCACAGAAAGCTGTCCCTGCAGATCGATGGGGGGGGGGGGGGGGGGGGGAGGGGGGGGCAGAGCAGGGCAGGGTCGGGTCAAACCAAGCCAAGCAGCCCCCTTTGGGCCGGGCAGTTGTGTGTTTGTGCGTGCGCGCGTGTCTGTGTGTGTGTGCGAGCCCTTGGCACGGAACCCGGGCGCCAGGCAAACGGCGGAGACGTGGCAGCAGCAGCAGCGGCAGCGGCGGCTTCTTCTTCTTTGCAAAAGCTGCGGAGACCCCCACCCCCCGCCGTCGGGTTTGGGGAAGGGTGGGTGGGGGGGTAGGTGGGTGGGGTGGGGGGAGAGCCCTCTCCTTCCTTCTCGGACCTCTCCTTGCCAAAAAAAAAAAAAAAGGCCCGTGCCCATCTTCCCCGGCCGTGTCCATCCTTCCCCCCCCCTCCAACCAGCTGGCAAGAATTTTCTTCTTCTCCTCCTTCTTCCTTTTTTCTCTCTCCTTCTTCCTTTCTTTTTCGCTCCTTTTTTTGCTTTGCAATGCCCCCGCGGAGCGCGCGGAGGCTGCACCTTTAAGAGAAGGGAGGGACCCCTTCTCCCTCGCCCGGAGAGCAACCAGGAAGGGAGTTCACGGCATCATACGGGGCTTTGCATCTACTGTTACAGGCAGGGCAGGCAAGGCAAGGCAAGGCAAAGGCGGGCGAGCAAAAAAAATAAAAAATATAAAAAAAATAATATAAAAAGGAGGCACAGCCAGCCCGAGAGCGGGGAGGCCGGACGCGCCTGGCTGCTGCTTGCCCGTCCACCACCCGCCTCCTCCTCCTCCTCCTCCTCCCCCTTTTCCCCCCTTTTTCCGAGACCCCTCTCGCCTCCGCCCCGCAACGCCCAGAGACCCCCGCGGACCAAGAAGGTAAGGACGGCAGCGTGTTTGCAATGGAGGGGGGGGGGGAAATTTCCATGGGGGGCTTTTATTTTTTTGGGGGGGGGGGGGGTGGAAAGAGAAGGAAGGGAGTGCTGGCTGGTTTGGAGAAGAAGAGGAGGAGGAAGGAAGGAAGGAAGGAAGGAAAGGGGGCACCCAAAGTCCTGCGGGCGACTTTCGGGCCAGCTTTTTAACTTTTCCTCGCCTGGCGTTCCGGATCACCTGCGGGTCGTGCGCGGGGGTGGCGGTGGAGGAATGTGGAGGGGGTGAGGGGGGGGGGGGGGGAGGGTTGCCTTTGGAGAGGAGGCCAGGCGGCTTTGCAAAGAAATAAATAAGTCGATAAATAAAAAGGGAAAGTGGTCGATGCAAAAGGGAGGAGGGGAAAGTGGGGGGGGGGTGGGGAGAGATCCGGGGGGTGGAGGGTCCCGGGGGGGCCACAGGCTGGGGGGGGGGGGGGGGGGGGGGGGGGGGGGCGGGGGGGGGGGG